ATCGCGCCCCAGGCGGCTCGGGCCTGCAGCCGGCGACGCTGCGCCAGAATCGCTCACAAAAGTGGCACCTGGGGGTTACGGGAAACGACCAGTGGCGGCGCGCCCCTTGGCCCATCTGACGAACTTCACATTGTCATCGGGAAGGCGGTCATCCTCATTGCACGCGCGCAGGTAGAACTGCAGTTCGCCACCGTGATACTTGTCCATCATTCTCTTGAAATCGTCCTCGTTGAGCTCGTCGCCTCTGCGATCACTCCAGAACTCCCTGATATGACCCCCGATCACCTTCGCGATGTCCTCGTCGTCGACCCCATGGTAGATGTCGTGGCGGGGGCGTCTCCTCGCGACGAGCTAGCATGGCCCAACCGAAGCTTCGCTTGACCATGGGGGCAGGCGGCGGCGCGGCGCACTTCTCAAAGAACGTGGCGGCGAGCGAGATCATCTTGTCAGTGGCATCGCGCGCCATGTCCTTGGCCCACATATGCACGCAGTCGTCGCATCGCCCCCCGCAGGTCCTCGCATCCCACTTGCGGCTGCTCAAGTGGGCTGAAGTAGAGTCGATGCCATAGCTCTTGAGGAACTGCACAGGAAACAGCGACTGAGCGATGCCTGCCTGACTTGCAGATCGCGGCAATGCACGCCGATTCTGCTGTCTAATATTTCGGCAGAGACCTCGCGATGACTGGGAAGCGGGCGATGTCTGTCGAATTCCTCAGAATATTCGGGCGGCGGCCGATGCGACGCGTCGGCGCAGGGTCATTTAATGCCCGCGTCGACAAAAATGCACCTGTCAAACCCTGCCATCTTCTCATCAACTTCGCACCAAGCAGCGACAATGATCTCGCCTTCACGGCCCCTGGCGGAGACCTCGAGACTGGAGCGAAGGTTGCTGCGGACGTAATCCGTCGGCATGTTTGAACCGGGAACTTTTGGACCACGCTCGAAGTCGCCCGCGCCCCACGTGATCGCAACGAACTTCGCGCCCTGCGGTTGCGAAGGAGCGCCCGCGGCCCCGGGGAAACCCATGGCTGCGACCTGGGCACCCTCGTCGTCAATGGAGTGATCGACGACGCTGCGGGGCGCGGCGCAGCGCGGCTGGTCGCAGGCGGCTTGGCGCGAAATGTGCAGCGGGAAGATGGACTCTGCAACGAGACCCGAATCAAATTGCTCGAGTCGAATGAGAAGAATACCAAAACGATCACAACGACACATCTCCACCTCGCCCCCCGGACTCAGGGCGGCGCGACCCCCGGCGAGATCTTTCGCGAGACCGAGAGACGCCTGCGCTCGAAGAGACAACAATAGAGGAACACGATCCGAATATTCCAACTGATTGGATACCAGACAACCGCTCGCGGCACCATGCGAAGCGGCGACACGGAAAGAAAATATGTTCTCACCTGATGTCGAACTACCGGCCTGGCCCCCGACACCGCCGTAGGCTTGCGCTCCAAACGAACCCATGATAAAACTTCAGCGCTAAGACCCCATGTCTTCCATGACAACAAGAATTACACCTCGTTTAAAGAAGCCCATGCACCTTCACCCATCAAAACATCGATCGCACGCACGACGTTTAGATGTCGCAGACGCATCGGCCGACGCGCGCAGAAGATGTTGGGCCCACGAGCCCGACAAGGGCGCCGTCTGCAACCTCGGCGACGCAATCGCGAAGCGTGGAATTGCACTCACCTGCGCTGACGTCGCCCGTGCCCTGACACATGGACATAGCACGCTGAGAGAACGCTTGCAACGCAGCGATCAGCCCCGATGGTCTTCTCGATCGCCTCCGCCTGGAGGTTGGAAGCGCGTTCAACTGCCTTAGCAGTGGCCTTTCTTGTTCTGGGCGAGCTGTCAGGGCGGCTCGCCAATGCGCGCCGGACGCTGACAACGGAACGCACGAACAGCATCGGGCGCGCTGCCCCTACTGTCCACGCGGTCGCGCGGACGCTCGCCCGGAGAGTGCAATGACTCGCGCCGCTTTCACTCGGTCTTGCGCCCGCAATCCTTTCGCGCGCGAACGACGAAGCGAGTCGTCGAGACAGCCCCCTAGAGATTCTTGCAACCGCGAGCACCAGGATGAGGCGACGGGGGATCTGGCGGCTCCCTGCTCAGGGCAGAAGAACAAGAAGAAGGCAGAGCTTTGTCACTAAAAACTCTCGCACCAAATATTCTCACGAAGCTACTGTCCTCTTTCTGAGCGAAATTATGATCGGCCCAAATCGAGAATTAAATCAAATCTTCGCTCGGTTTCTTGACCCCGCGACCCCGCGCGACGTAGTCAGGCGTCGTCCTGAGAACGCGACCGCAGCTGAGCCCCCGGCGCTGCCGCGCGCCAAACGCGGCATCGCGGCCAGGAGAGGAGGTCGGATGCGGAGAAGATTCCGCCTCAAAGTCTTCGTCAAAAAAGATAATCATCGAGAAGCTCTCGACGGAACGAACGGCCATGAACCCAGGAATCTCTCCGCCAGCCTCCGCGGAGGTCCGCGGGTCGTTCTCTGGAGGCCCCTGAACCGAAACAGCTTCGGATTACTCGAGACGCCTCTCGCAGGCATGATCATGCGCGCATCCGCTCTGCAAACTACACTGGCCATCGCAATTCCCCCCCCCCCCCGCCCCCCTCGCACGAGCATGCCCTGCGACGCGCGACGCGAGATGAGAAAGATGAACAGAAGCGAGAAAAACCGCGACCAGCAATCATCGTCTCCTCTTTGCTCTCTGGGACAATGATGAGTGGATGATGATATAGCTGCGGTCCCAATAGATGCGAACTCCTGTTCACCATCGCCCTCGCGTAACTGGATCTGTCGCTCTCCAGTGAACGCTGCCGTTGCTGTCCTGGGTTCGCCATTGCACTCAGGGTCCCCGGACCAGTGGCCTGCTTCGTTGTAGGCTTGACATTGTGAGTTTTTTCTTGGTCTCCTGAACTCGTTTCTTTCTTTTGGCGATCTTCTAGGCTCGGCATTCCCTTGCCGCTGCCCTTGGACGACCTGAGCGTGCGGTTGTAGCCCTTGCCCCCGCCCTGTCCTTGACCCTCGCCCCTTACCTTGGTGCCAACGTTGGACGCCAGGTATTCCTGGATCACGTCGGCGCCTTCGTCCTCGGTGCACCCAACCTTAACCATATCGCCAACCACTTCGACGTCGAACTCGTCATCTCCCTGGGCGGGAGCCAATTGACGCACGGTTCTTCGTCGCCCAGGCGCGCTCCTCGACATAGTCGCCCCAGGCTGTGTCGCCCCAGCCGCGCTGCGGTGAATAGCTGGACGCGCAATATTCATAGGGATTCAACTCCTCAGGGAAGTGCTCCTCCTGCTCGCGCCAGTCGTCGCCTGCAGCGTGGTGGGCGCACGGCGGCCTCGACTGGCGCACCTTGCCTTTACCTTTGCTCCTGTCGGGGTCGCTGGGCCTGCGTTGTGTCCACGCCGCGGGTCTGGATCCTTTGCTCGGCTCACCCTTGCCCTTTCGGCGAATGTGAATGCGGCCGCGCTAAAGAATCAAGACGTCCTTGATATTGCCGAAACTTGTCATATGTCTTGTGGATGTCAAAACCATCAGGTCTTCCGAAGGTGAATGACATGCGTGGTCCAAGAGAAGAGATCCAAGTTTAGGGTCTAGTTTGGAGACAAGTGTCCACCAACGCTTCCCGCGGGAAATGTACGAGGCCCTCGATTCACCGCCCTGTCGGGACAGCGGTCCGAAGGGTTTTTGCCCCGCCTGGAACAAGATCTTGGCATCCGGAGCCTCTGTGGGGAAGAGTAAAGTACGAATTGCCAGCACAAGCTGATCGATTCCCTTCGGTGTCAGAATCGTCTTTACCGAGATCCATGGCAATATCGGACGCGTCGCCTCTGAAGCCCTCTACAACCGTGTTGACAGCTGCAGTGATAACGTGCTGCTGGGGGTCTCCCGTCTCGGAGTCTACTGAGGTCACGGCGGCGCTCATGCGCATATCCGTGCGGAATTCCCATTGGTGGAAGTTGTCCACCGTGCCATCGCAGATGTAAGAGTCATTCTCCATCCTTGATCGCGTCAACGCGTCGCCGTTCAACCGATAGCGAAGAGAAGACAGCGCTAGGGAGGCAAAGCAAGGCAAGACACGGCCCCCTAGTGAGGGAAACTGCTGAACAAGTTAAGGCGATTGCTCTCTCTGGAGAGACGAGCGCGCAGTTGCACGATACGGGGATCGTGTTGCAGCTCCGCTGCCAGTGTGATTATGAGACGTGTTAGCGCAATGGCAAAAGGGGCCCCCAGAGGTCAAACGGCAGCGAGTGGCGCGCTGTCACACGTGACACATGCTCTATATCACATGTTCCCATTCCCCTATCCCCCTCCTCCTCGTCTCTTTTTGGGGTGTCGCGTTCTCCCCATCCCTTTCGCCTTTCCCGCCTCCTTCCCTTTCCCGCCCCGTGCCTCCCATCCCCCTCTCTCCCTCTCTTACCCTATTTATACTCATCACCCTCCTCCCTCTCCACTCATCCTCCTCTTCTTTTCCTCTTGAGGTGAACCTCCCCCTCCTGCTCCCACCCAGCCCCACGTCCCATTTCTCCTCCGCGGCACCCTCCTCATCTACCTCGTGATGGTCGTCCACCTTTTCCACCATCTTTCCTCCTCCTCCTCCTCCTCCTCCTCCCTCCCCACTCCTCCTCGTCCTCCTCCTGGTCCTCCTCCTCCTCCTCCTCCTCCTCCTCCTCCTCCTCCCCCTCCTCCTCCATATCCATATCCTCATCCTCGTCATCTCCTCGTGTTCATCCTCGTCGTCGTCATACTTCTGCTCCTCCCAGTCCTAGTCCTGGCCCGCGGCCTCTTCCCTCTCGGCCTCACCCTGGCTCTGGTGATCGGCCTCCTCCTCCTCCTCCTCCTCCTCCTCCCTCCTTCTCCTGCTCCTCCTTCTCGTCCTCCTCCTCATCCTCATTCTCGTGGTCCTCCTCCTCATCATCGTCTGCGCACTCGTGCTCGCCCTCGCCCTCGCCCTCGGCGAGGACCCCTCGCCCTCCCGACCTAAAGTCGTGGTGCTCCACGTCCACGGCAATCTCCCCGCCAGAGCAGGTCGCCTTGATCTCCTCGACCATGGCACGGAGCTCGTCGCCCGTCTCGACGAGGACGAGGGGCGTGTCCTCCATGCGCTCGTAGATCACCGGCTTCCGGAGCTCGAGCACGCCATTAGGGACCTCCAGCGCGGCCAGCTCCGCCTCTGGAGGAGGATCGAGGCTCGAGGTCCTGCACTTCTTCTTGGGCCCCCGGAGGCCTCGGCGGGCCTGCGAGGGACCTCGAAGCCATTTCTCCAGAGACCTCCAGGCCACGGAGAACCCATCGTAGGGGGTGGCCCACAGCGTCGTCCATTACTGGGTGACGCGTGCCGCCGCCCAGGGGTCAGCCCCCTCGCGATGGGTCCTCGGTGGCAAGGGTCTTTGTTTGTCCTGCGAGTAGTCATACAGGGCAAGGGGGAGCGGGGGTGAGATATCGGGCTGGAGATCGGACATATGAGCGGAGATTAAAAACGGGCCTTACGCGAGATGGCACAGCGAACTTACGCCGCAGCTTGCGCGGGCCGCTGGCGCGGCACGCCACACTTGAAACGAGGGCGCACACGCGCGACCTCACGCGGGCAACTTACGCGCCAATGTCGGTGAAGACGGACCCAAAACTTCTGCGCCGCTCATGTGAGCGACGGCCAAAAACGGGTCGTACGCGAGATGGCGTAACGACCTTACGCTGTGGCTTACGCGGGCCGCCCGCGCGGCACGCCACATTTGAGGTGAGAACGCTTACGCGCGACCTCACGTCGGCAGCTTACGCACCAAGGTCGGCGACGACCGACCCCCGACGCCGCCGACGCCTCGGCGAGGGGGCACCGACGGCGAGCGCGCGCGCGCCCGGGAGGGGTGGTGCACCCGAGCCCCCGACCGGCGATGAATGGGCGACTAAGTCCGAATCGATGGACCTTACGAAGTGAACGTCCTGGAACGTCAAACCTGCACGAGGATGTGCCGAACAAGCGAGGATGTGAGGCTGCCCTGGCTGGAGTAGTTACTGAAGGGGTCAGTGGTTCCTCCCTGAGCCAGCCACCCCCTCGGATAGCTCATGTCCTCCGCCCCACTGCCCGCTGAAAGGAAGGAAAGAAAGAAAACGATGACCGTGGCCAAGACTGAACGCGGAAACATCGGTGTCGATCTTGGTCTGCGTCGATCTTGGTCCTCGTCACTGCCCGAATCATCCTCGCGACCCGGCGACGGCTCGCATGGACCATGACCAACATCGGCGTCGACGGGATCCCGCGACATCTCTGTCATGGTCGTCGGGCGTCTTCCCCTCGCGAGCTGGCCTCCCCTCCCGAGCTGGCCGCCCCCTCGGATAGATGTTGTCCTCCGCCAAACCGCTCGAAACGGAGTCCCCGGACCCCTCCCGGGGGCCCGTTCTGGGCCGCTTCCCCGCCAGCCGGCGTCCTCCGCCCAGAAGGTTCAGCATGGGGGCAAGCGGGTCCTCAGGGCAACGCCGGGGCCTTCCCCCAGGACGAGCTTCCCGCCCCGAGCCGTTCTCTGACAGTCCTGGGGCCCACCAGGAGGTCGAGGAGGAGGAAGACGAGGAGGACGAGGTGGTGGTGGTGGTGGTGGTGGTGGAGCCGTTGGGGGCCATAGGTCGATGACCGATGACGTCTCGCACATCTGGCCCCTAGAAGCCACGAGCTACTGCAACTGTGGGTATCGTCACCTCCACTGCCCGTGGGAGCCGCGCCAGCCGTGGCTGGAAGCGGCCCCGCTCCAGACCCGCTCCAGGCGAACGCTGTCTGGGTCCAGACCTCACGCCACAAACCCAAACAGTCCAAGCACTGGGGGGGAGAAAAACGGGGGACGAGCGTGCTAACCTCCCTGGGCCACGCGCGTTCGTTTCGCTCTGCAGTCGGCACCTGGGCCTCTCGCAGCCTGGCCAACGCCAGGCCTCGCAGCAAAAATCCGTCGGCCAAGAAAAGAAACAAGATTTGTTAAAGAAAAACGGCTCCTGCTCCTCCCACCCACGGTCCCAGCCCAGGGCGGTCCTCGGCTGAGGAGTTTGGGGCACCGCGCGTCGCAGATGTCCAGCGGGGGTGAGGGGGGGGGAAGGGGGGGGCTCTCTCTGGGGGGAGGAACGAGGGGAGAGAAAGCTACGCCTCTAGACGCACATGCTGCTACTGCCCTGCGTTGGCCCTCACGAGATCGCCCACCTCTCCCGTACCTGGATCGGGCTCGCGGATATGCTCGACGACGCTGGGACTCAGGAGGAGGAGGAGGAAGAGGAGGAGGAAGAGGAGGAGGAGGAGGAGGAGGAGAGAAGTGGAGGAGAATGGCGGAGGGAGGATCGAGGAGCTATGTTTGAGGGCCCCGAGAGCCTCAAAACGGAAGAAAAAACCTCGGGCCACGTTTCCCTCAAGACCCCGCTTCCCCCATGGTGTGCGACAACGTGCCCGATCAAAACGGGGCCCCTGGACCCCCACCGGAGCTCCCCCTGGCCAACTCTTCCGAGCCGCGCCCCAATCGCGGGGCGAGGGCGCCCTCCGTGTGATTCCTAACACTTCCCTCGCTCCTTCCGCCAGTTTCCGCCTCTGCCCCTTTGTCTGGCCCGCTGCGCGTGCATTTCCTGGCCCAAACCTACCGCGGACGCTTGGCTCACAGGGCCCTTGGTCAAATGTGTTGCGCCATCACCAGCGGTGACAACCAAAAAAACATTAGCAGCGAGAATCCGACATATCACCGCGGTAGATTGGAACGCGCTCTGTTACCTGGCGCGCGGCGCCTTTCCATATCCACGCCCATCGGGGCCAAATTGTGCCACGACGACGCCGACGTGGAGCATAGTGGAAGCGAGGACCAGCGTCATCCTGCTGCTGCTGCAGCTCACCAGCGCCAGCGACGCCAAGCCCTACTACCTGCCCTACTCCGCCAGCGACAGCGACGCCAGCAATCCCCACTACCTGCCCTACTCTGCCAGCGTCAGCGACGCCAGCAAACCATACTACCTGACATGCTCCGCCAGCGTCAGCGACGCCCGCAAGCACTACGACCTGCCCCACCAGCGCAGCGTCAGCGACGTAGCCAAGCCATGATACGTTTCACACTTCTCGAATTTTAGCGAGGTCGCCAAGTTCAATTTCCCAATCTCCCAAAACGTGATTGACGCCACTGAGTTCGATTTAGCATCCTTCCTGAACTTTAGCGATGCCGCCAAGTTCAATGTCATACTCTCCCCGAACGTCAGTGACGCCATCGAGTTCAATGTCTCACCTCTCCAGGTCTTTAGCGAAGCCGCCGAATTCGATTCCCCCGCCGCCCAGTACGCCAACTCCCTCAAGAAGTTCTATTTCATCACGACGGCGACGGACAGCGACATCGAATCCGACAATTCTTTCCTGGCAATTTCATCTACGCGCGGCCGTACTCTCGACACAATGACGGACAATAATTCCACGCCGCAGTCTCTGATGCCGAGCTGGAACGGAGATCCAGCGAAGTGGCGGGGCTATGCATGAGCAAGAAGTCAAGCTCTGGGAGCTCGGCGAGAACATGGAGGTAAACCGACGCCCGGCATCAAATCTGGTGCTCCGACTTTCGGGATCGGCGCGTGCACGCGCCGTCAACATGGATCCCGAGATGCTTCATCATCAGCAAAATAACGAGCCCAACGGGCCAGAGGCGTGCTAGGATCTCCGGTGACTGGTTAATACTTCTCTAGTTCGCGCGCGCGGGGCGGCCCCTGGGGGTCCCCGGACGAAAAGTACCCCGGGCGACCCCCGGCTGATCCCCGGGCGACTCCACCAGAGCGCTCCATGAGCGCACCAACAGGGCTCCGAGACGTCCCCGAGAGCCCCAAGCAAGGCCAAGAGGCCCCCAAGAGGCCCCCAAGATGGTACACGAGGGGTCCGACATGCCACAAGATCGCTCCAAGACGCCCAAGATAGCCCCCAGACGCTCCAAGAGGCCTCCAAGAGCACTCCCAAGAGGGCCCCAAGAGACAAAATGCATTGCTTTTCCTTAGGTTTTTGAAACATTTTGGAGCTTCCACCTTCTCGGCTTCCCGACGCCCCAAGACGGCCCAAGAGGCCCCCTAGATCGCCCCAAGAGGGCCCAAGAGGCCCCCAAGAGGGCCCCAAGATGGCCCAAGAGGGCTCGAAGACGGCCCAAGAAGCCTCCAAGACGGTCCAAGAGGGCCCCAAGAACGCCCCCAACGGGGCCCCAGAGAGGGAACACGAAACAACATTTCGAGCCCTCGGCCCTAAGAAGCCCCCACGAGGCCCCAAGAGGCCCCTAAGAGGCCCCAAGAGGCCCCCACGAGGCCCTCAGGAGGCCCCCAAGAGTCCCCCAAGCGGCCCCAGGAGGCCCCCAAAATGCCCCCCCGAGCACGCAAGCAAGTGCAAGCGATGCTACAATGTGCTCTCCTTTCGGTAGACTCCCAACGGGGCCCCTACAGACTTGCAACAAGCGTCAAGAACCTGCCCAAAAAGCACTGTCCAGGAGCGTTCACAAGTGCCGCGAAGAAGCCCCCCTTACGCCGGAAAGCCCGGAAAGCCGGGTGGGGTGAGCTGTTCTTCTCACCACCGCGCCCTCTCACACAATGGCTTCCGCACGCCGCCCAGAGCGCGATGCCTCCCAGACTGTATGGGCCGGCGGAATGAGCGAAGCGATTAAATAACGAGCTGGAGGGAACAAAAAAGACAGGAAATGAGACAAGAACGCGAAGGGCATCACCAACATCATGCGCCACCTGGACAAGAGCTTGGGTCAGCAAAAACCTGCGCAGAAAGGCGAGACGCTAGAGAAGTTTCTGAAGTCGACAGCTCAGCACCGACGCCGTGGCGAGCGCGTGACAGACTGGCCAGTCAGGTTCGACGCGGGCCTACGATAGCTACGCGAGAATGAAGTCGGCGTCAACGCGCTCGACGACGTTGCAGGATGGTTATTGCTGCGCATGGCAGGCCTGAATGCCTACCGCCCCGAGCAAGTCGCGGGCAACCTGCAAGCCGAGCACTGCGGGTTCCAACGCCTCAGGGGCCTGTTGGCGCGCATGTTCCCAAACGCCAACGTCCAGGAGAGGTCGCAGCAGCCGCCGTCCCGACCCTGGAGCAGTCAACCGCGACCCTCGCGGCAGCGCCCGAGCGCGCCAGGGCGAGCCTGCTCGGCCAACGTGGCGGACGAGTCAGATGAGGACGTCGACCAGAATG